TCCTGCTTTCTGTGGCACCTCTGTAAGAGGGACATCTCTCTGTTTTTCCTGCAATGCTCGTCTTGTTTTTACAAACTCCCTTAGGTTCAATATCTTGATCTCTCCTTTATATTTGATGGACAGTTTTGTTGGGTACAGTATTCTTGGTTGACAGTTGTTTTCTTTGAATGTTTGCTATATGCCATTCCATTGTCTTCTTGCTCACATGGTTTCTGCTGAGAAATCAGCACTTAATCTTATTTGCTCTCCCTTATAGGTTACTCTTTGTTACACCCTCGCTGCTTTCAGAATTCTCTTCTTATCTTTTATTCAGAAAAATTTGACTACGATATGCCTTGGTGTTTTTATTTTGTGGTCAATTCTATATTATGTTCACTCAGCTTCTTGAATATATATTCTCTCATTCTTCATTATGGCTGGGAAGTTTTCTTCTAGTAATTCTTCCACAACTTTTTCAGTGTCTTTACTTGCTTCTTCCTGTTCTGGAATTCCAATGATGTGCATATTATTTCTCTTGATGGTGTCCCACATTATTCTTAGGTTTTCTTTTTCCTTCCTTTTTGATTCTGCTTTTTGCTCTAGCAGATCAGTAGTGACAATTCTATCTTCTATTTCACTGATTCTGGATCCCATCTCTTCAACTCTGTTCATGTGTCCCTCCATCATGTTGACAGCATCTGAAACATCAGACTTCATATTTTGGATTGGAGCTTCTTGTTTTGCCAGAGCCTCTAATGTCTCATTTGTTTTCTATGCATTGTTTTGGATGGTTTTTTTAAACTCCTCCTGGTTTTTGCTTGTAATGTCCTGTAATTCTTCAAGCTTGTCTTTCACCCATTCAAAATATTCAATCATTGTTCTTTTAAATTCTGTGTCAGAAAGTTCCATCAGACTCTCTGGCTTCAGGAAATCCATTGAATCTGTCACTTATTGAGAGTGACATCTTGCTTTGGGCTTGTATAGGATGTGAGGTAGCTTGCTTCTTTTGTGACCTTGCTCTGGCAGAGATTTTTCATGCCTGAGGTGATAGCCAGTTTTTAATCTGAAGCCATAGCCTCAGAAGAGGGTTGAGCAGGCACACACGCACAGATACATGTAGGGTGGATGCACACACAGACACATGTGGGGTAGGGGGGCAGTGAAGTGAAAACTGAATGGAAAACCAGAAAGCCTTGGTTTTCTTCTTGAGAACTGGGACTGCCACCCCAGTCAAGCTCCAGCTGGCCCACTTTCTCCTGCTTAAGGTCAAGGGGTCCCACATAGTCCAGCAATCAGCAGTACTTCTCCCCTCCCCCAAGTACCTAACTCAAATTCCCACTGTCCTGCTTACTCCAGGTGGGTGGTCTCTGCTGCAGCTCACTGTGTCCCCACCAAGGCTGGTTGTGTGCTTCTGAGAATTTATCCATTTCTTCTGTTTACCCAGCTTATTACCACATTCTTGTTCATAAAGTCTACCAAAATCTTCTTTATTTTTATTGTGCCAAGAGTAATGTCACCTCTTTGGTTCTTCATTTTGGCTGTTTACCTATTAGCTCTTGTCAACCTAGCTATAAATTTGTCACTTTTATTGATATCTTTATGTTACCACCAGAGCTAGTTTATATTGATCTTTTCAAATAATCAGCTTCTGGTTTATTGATATTCTCATCTGTTTTTTTAATTAGTAAAAAATAATAATAAACACCAATTTGACCAGATTTTTCTTTATGTGCACATGTTAAATATATATGACACAAGTTTTTACCATTTCAATATCTTTACTTGTACAATTCCGTAGCATTCAACAGGATTCTCAAATAACTTTTACATGTACTTTTTCACTAGAGTAGAAAGCTCTGGTGGCCTAGTGGCCGGAAGCTGTGCTGTAATCCCATAGGCACACAGTTCAAGGCCACCAGCAGGATAAAGATGAGCTGTGATTAACTGCCTCTGAAAACCCACTGGAAGGTCAGCTATGGGACGGTTCCAACTATATGGTACACAGCAGTAACAATAACATGGCAATGATGTGAAAATAGCGCCATCATATGAATGGTTTTAGTCTAAGAGTATCCCAACCAGTATTTGAATTCTAACCAGTATTCCATTAATTCCAACTCATTAATTCCAACCAGTATTTCAATGTGATAAAATGTTATGCAGCCTCTCAAGGTCATTTTGTATACTGAGAAAATCATTCAAGAAGCTGGACTGTATGAAGTCAGATGTGGCATCAAGATTGGAGGAAGACTCAACAACAACCTACATTATACAGATAACAAAAACTTGCTTGCAGAAAATGAAGTCTTGAAGCACTTACTGCAAAAAAAGATCAAAGATCTTTTATATGGATTACATCTCTACATCAAGAAAACAAAAAAATCCTCACTGATAGACCCATAGATAACATCATAATAGAAAAAGATTGAAGTTGTTAGCAATTTCATGTTACTTGGATCCACAATCAACCCCCATGGTAGTAGCAGGCACAAAAATCAAAAGATGCATTGCATTGGGTAAATCTGCTGTGAAGGACCTATCTGAAGTTCTAAAGAGCAAGGATGCCCATTTAAAGACTAAGATATTCCTGATTCAAGCCATTGTGTTTTCAATTGCTTCCAGTGCATCTGAAAATTACACATTGAATAAGGAAGATCAAAGAAGAATAGATGGCTTTGAATTATGATGGTGATGAAGAGTATTGACTATAACATGGACTGCCACAGAACAGATGAATCTGTCTCAAAGGAAGTGTAACCAGTGTGCCCCATAGAGGCAAGGATAGTGAAATTTTGTCCTGCTTTCTATGGGCATGTTTTCAGGAAGAATCATTCCTTGGAAAGAGACATCATGCTGGGAAAGGTAGAGGATCAATGAATGAGAGGGAGACCCTTAATGAGATGGATTAATACAGTGCATACCACAGTGAGCTTGTACATGGCAGAAATTGTGAAGATGATGCAATATATTACATAATCATGGAAGACATGTATAATAAAATGTGAAGAACTGAGTAAAAACAGAATCTGTAATATGCATAATTTTGTAATAATCATATAATAAAATAGATTAACTAAATGATATATAATAAAAACTGCCATAAATTTATGAATGTTGTTGTTGTGAGGTGCCATCAACTCATAACCACCCTATGAACAAAAGATCTTGAACCCTGTTCTATCTGGCACCATCCTCACACTTCCTGACACACAAGAGCCCGTTGCTGCAGTCACCATGTCAATTCACCTGGTTGAACGTCTTCCTCTCCTTTGATGGCCTTCCACCCTTCCCAGCATTATGTCCTTCTCCAAGGAATAGCATCCCCAGCAACATGTCCATAGTGAGGGGAAGCCTAATCATACTTGCCTCCAAAGAGCACTCTAGCTGTACCCTCTCCAAGACATATCTGTTCGCTCTCTTGGCCATCCATGGGATGTTCAGTGTTTTTTTCCAACACCACAGCTCAAAGACATAATTTCTTTTTATGTCAAACTTATTTATTGTCCAGCTCTCAGATGCATAGCAAGTAATCAGAAAGACTATGGCCTGAATCAGATGCACCTTAGTCCTCAAAATGACATCAGTAATCCTCAATAATTTGGAGAGGTCCCTAAACTGCAGATTTTGCCAATGCAGTGTGTCTCATTATTTCCTGACTGCTTGTACCAAGGGTGTTTATTGTGGATCCAAGTAAGATAAAGCTGTTGACAGTTTCAATCATGACTCTGCCTATTGGTCCAGTGGTAAGAATCTTTGTTTTCTTGACATTGAGATGCAATCCATACTGAAGGCTGCATTCCTTGATCTTCTGCAACAAGTGCTTCAAGTCCTCCTCACTTTGAGCAAGCAACGTTGTGTCATTTGCATAATGCAGATTATTGATGAGTCTCCTTCCAATC